CTGAACCAGCATCTCCTCCGATGGTTCTATGTTGATTTTGCCTCAGTGTACAAATGCATTCCAGGTGGTGGCATCCTGCTCAGTACCTTACATCCAGGGCTTTGAACCAGTTCATTCCAGTTCAGTCCTCTGCTGAGGAGTTGCCTTTCCACATCAGGGGCACTGAATCAGAATCCACGCTTTAGCCTGATCCCCAGCTGGCTCTTATAGATCTCATAGAGTCATATGGGTGTCATAGATTCTTATAGATGACGCCTTATAAATATAAGAATCATCTGAGGCTCTTGTTAAACCGTAGATCCTGATCTGGTCTATCGAGTTGTGGTGGTTGTAGTTGTGGTTGTGGTTGTGGTTGTGTGCTATTGACTCGGAGCAACCCACATACAAGAAAAGGAAACACTGCGCCATCCAGCAACGTCCTGCTGATTGTCGCCACTTTGGGCTCATAGTTACAGCTATTGTGCCAATCCAGTTCTTGGGAGCCTTTCTCTTTTTTCACGGACCTTTTCACTGTCCCAAGCAGGCCCTTCTCCAGGGACAGGTTCCTCCTGAGAACCTGTTCAAAGGATCTGGGGTGGAAATGTAAATTCTCAACTTGGGGTTGAGCCCGATTAAACCTGTTCAAAAACAAAAACAAAACACAACACACACACACACACACACACACCCCCCAAATTCCCTGCCATCAAGTTGATTCAGAGCTCCTGAATCTGTTCAACGCCATGCTGACATCATTGTGACCCAGCGCCAGCATCAACCTCACCTGCACTCAAACTAGGCCCTACTTCAGACCTACCCACCTCCCAGGTGATGCTGACCCAGCTAAAATTTGAGAGAGAATTTTCTCAGGCCACACATTAGCACCACAGGCACGCATCCAGCACAGTGTGTTGACAGAGAAAGTGAACTGATGGGGTATACAGCACTGAATTTGGTGCAAAACACAAATCTCTTTTCTGTATTTAATGTGTGAAATGTCTTCTTAACTTAAAGGTTTGCCAGAGGTCCAGCCGACTATTCCCAGGTGGGTGCTCCAAGCCCGGTCACAATTAAAGAGCCCACTCCCCGCCCACCCTGCTGCAACGGCTGAATGTGGTAGCCCTAGCGCCAGACCGCATGCGCATGCGCTTGCGCGGGCGTGGTTACACACCGCCAGTCCCAGCCAGATGGTGAGGCGGGGCTCACCTGGCCCCGCCCCATCGTAAACGGCTGTCGGCATGGCAGCCAATCAGGGAGCAGCACGCGCCTGCCCATAGCGCCGTTGGCCTGGGCTTCACGTGCGTCGTTTGCTCTCTCACA